CTTGCATCTCATTAGCTTCACGCCTCCCCAGTCCCGCTCTGCTCAGCGAGGAGAAAAGAGAGCACAAGACAGGAGGCTGCCCGCTCCAAGCTGAAGGCCGTGGGAAGCACTGACAGAGCTCGATGGGCAGAGAGAGAAGAAGTTCCCAAGAGCAGCCCAGGCTATGGGAGGCATTGAGACATCCGTCACCTGCAACTGCAAAGCCATGGGCACCAGAGAAGTCCAGACAAGAAAAGCTGTCCTAGCATCCCCTGCCTGCCACCTTCTGTCCAGACACCAACATCTGCTGGCTTCCCTCTTCCCTGCAGTCACTCCCACGCACCAGATGAACGCCCAGCAGAGACATCTTGGATGGGGAAGCCAGCACGCAAGAGCTGCCTCCTCGCTTTGAAGAAATGTTCAGGCAACTCTTCCCACCACCCCGCAAGGAAGCCGGAGCAGAAGGTGGCAGCCCTGCTCGAGCATAGTCCCATCGGGGTGCTCCTCTCCCCTCCCCACCCCAAAACCTCCAGCATTTGCTGGCCTCAGGAAGAGGGTATTCCTCACTCGGCAACATCTTCAGAGCACACAAGGCAGCTCTCTCATCTGCCTCTGAAGATCTGACTACTACCAGAGATGGGATGCTGGACTACATACAGATGGGACTCGGTTCTCTGTCCTGATGTGGTGAATCCTATAGGGAAAAATGCCATTCCCTACCTGATGCTGGAAGAAGCTAAGAGACCCTACGGAGGGGAGGCATATCTGCTTCCCAGAAGGTAAGCCCACCCTGTTTAATCCTGCTTGGATATGGGGGAGGGAAAAGAGAAGAGACAGCGACTTGGCAGGAAAGGTACATGCCAACCCCAAATCCTAGCAGCTTGCTGTGCATGCAAAGTAAGTCAACTGTTTCCATGTTGGTGGCCCGATCCACGTTCTAGCAGAACGCGACCGGCCATTTCTGAGGGCCGCTTGGCCAGAAAACCACTTGGAGACTCCACCTTAGCTCACAGGAGAGGTATGGGAGGGAAGGGAACTCACTCCAACACTTGGGAGGCAAGGACGGGAAGGGTTTGTAGACAGGGTTCCTCCAACATGCAACTTGCCTTTTCAGCTCAGAGATCGCTGCTTAGTCCCAGAATACCTTTCCCTCCAGTTCAAGCAAGTCAAACACCATCCCAGACACACATGCTTCGATACTACAAAATACTCTTTTCTCTAAGGACCATCTAATACCACTACAGTTTGTGCAATCACTGCATTTATTATTAATTTTTAAACTCTCTCTCTCTCTCGCTCTCTCCCTGTAGAAATTTTTTTTAAACTTTTCTTTTTTTATGCAAAACTAATCATTTCACTTTTTCCACTCCATCATAAAATCTCCTCTAAAAACACGACGACAAGAGAACAAACATGGCACAGACGGGGAGAATATTTCCCTGTTTTTTTTTTTTTTTTTTTTTTTTCCTAGGGGTTACGGGGAAGGGAAGGGGATACTTTCAAATAAACTCCTCCCTCAATCCCACACCCTTTTTAAAGAGCATGGATAGATCTTCCTTCCCATCTCCATTAAGGAGTAAGGGCAAAAATTCAGAAGGAGGAGTGTAACCCACGTGAATACGAAGGTAGGTTAGTCAGCCTCAAGTGGCTTGTCCACCTGACGGAACTTGAGGCTGCTGCTGTGTTCAAGTTAGCAGACCTCTAACTCAAAACAGCACGTGATCCTCATTTCGGATCCAGAGGTTCAGGGTTTGGTTCCCGCCTGGTGACCCCACCAAGGGAGAGATTTGTCACACAAGCAGTCGAGCTGTGTCTGCAAACCGGATCATATTCCTTTCTTCCTCCACAAAGAGGATCTACTGCACAAAGAGTTTCTCTGCCGCAACAAGTCCCCTCATCTCCCACCACAGGAAGAAGGTCCTCACGGAGTACCCCTACAACGACCCACTGTTTTGCTCTTCACAGACAGTCCCCTTGCTTGTCACTCTGGAGAAAGGCAAAAACCCTTCAATTAAACAATTCCTGCCCCCAAAGAACACCACACAAGAGACACTGGGGAAAAGAATTCTGCCAAGCAAACACACATCTTGGCCAAAACACATCAAGAGTTTCCTATTAAAGTTCCCTTTTATCTCCCACTTAAACGCTTCAATTTTTTTTTTTTTCCAGAACCTCAATACCACAAAACAAAACACATCACCACATACACACCAAACAGTAACTTAACAACCTAAAGTGACTGGCCAGTTTGCATCCACCCCACAAATAAGCTCCTCTTATCTCGCAGCCGCAGAATAGTTCTTGTTCAGAAGGGGGAAAAAAAGAGAAGAATCTCCTCACTATTTCCCTAAGAAAGAGCTTTTCCCTATGCCTACAAACTGCTCATCTTTGAAGCTGCAGTCAAATGGAGAGGCTATGCTAAAATAAGGGATCCCCAGGTGTGCCAGGCACAGGAAAGATGCAAAAAAGAAAATAAAGACACGAAAAATACAGGCAGGTATTAATACAGACACGCACACAAGTCCAACAAGTTATAGGAAGCCTTAGCTTGGTGAATGGATTGGGCAAGTCTCTTTCTCCCTGCCCCTAGCTTCAGCTGTGAATGCAACCGCATCCCCGAAGAGTCCACTAAACTCTTTAACCAAGGAAAGAAAAAGAAAGAGGTGTGCAAAGGGTGGTGCTAACAGCACCTGGAATCCATTAATACAGACACGCACACAAGTCCAACAAGTTATAGGAAGCCTTAGCTTGGTGAATGGATTGGGCAAGTCTCTTTCTCCCTGCCCCTAGCTTCAGCTGTGAATGCAACCGCATCCCCGAAGAGTCCACTAAACTCTTTAACCAAGGAAAGAAAAAGAAAGAGGTGTGCAAAGGGTGGTGCTAACAGCACCTGGAATCCCCCTCAGGCAGACCCGGAGCCGCAACTGGTGTGAATTCACCATGCCCCATGGCTTTGAATTTCACCCGCTGTGAGGCAAGGCTTGTGGGGAGGGCAGCAAAGATTTTATTACACCAACCCAGGCGCTGGAAGCAGGGAAAAGACAAGCTCTGGGCACAGAAGCCCTAATTAAGGTCAGAAGCTGGTCTACCCTCTACTGCTCCGACGACGCCCCTTGGGCAGACAAATACTGCCTCTCTCCCAGAAACCGCCTTCCTTCTACCCTCAGACCACTGCAACCACAAAATCACTACTCCACACAAGAGCACTCCTCGGAGCCTGCGGCTCCAGAGCACCCTCGTGTGGAAGCACCAGAGGGGCCAATTCCACTCGTGTTCATCCACCCAGGGCAGGTTTGTAAGTAGGTGAGCCCTGGCGCGGGGAGTTTTTTCCACCCTTTTCACCTCTGCAGCATGTTATGTAGAAATGACGCCCCTCTGCCCCATCCCAAATAGGGGGGACAGAGCTGAGAGGGCGAGGCTCTCCCATTGATTGATCAGCACCTCTTTTCCTTGCCTCTACAGGCTGAGCCCTGTGCGAATAGGAGGAGAAGGGAGAGTAAAGGAACGGCACCTCACCACGAAGCTTAGCACCCATACAGAAATGGAGCAAGCCAGAAATGGCAGGTGGAAGAGAGAGCTTATTTTGGGTGTGAACAAG